TCCCCCGCCGCCATTTTGGACTGCCCCGGGGTGCTTGAGGAGTGAGATATCGCGAGAGCTCAGGCAGCCTCCCGCCGTCACACGCCTCTCCTACTCTCTCCCTCTTTTTAAATACTTCCTGCGACTGTCATTCTCCCCACTCACTACTATTCCACATCTTGATCACGATTCTCTAGTGTATGAGCTCAAGGAATTTCCGGCCTAGCGCGTTCGCGAAACACCTCAGAACCGTACTGCCGCCGCACCGCGGGATCTATTTTACTGAGCCACAACGAGTTCCCGCAATTGGAGGAGCCAATCAGCGCCCAGAATGCTCCTTGCTTTAACCAATCAATACTTTCAAGCGCTACGCTTCTTCCGGTTGCCTCTGGCCGGTCTCAGGCAGACACAGACTGCACGCCAATGGCACCGGAAGCTTCTGCCGCCATAGTTACGGAGACAACGCAATGCGCATGCGCAAACAGGGAGCCGGGCCAGGCTGCTACGGTGATGTCTCAAGAAAACCAATCAAGAGGCTACTTCCGTATCTCAGCGACTACCAAGGGGGCGAAAATACGTCATTTCCTTTGTGACGTTCTCATGTTCCCGCCAAAGTTTTCTCCTTGGTCTACACTTTCATCTAGTCTCCGCCCCGCAGTCGGGCAGTCTTTGCACACTCGTAGACCTTAGTACTTCGTTTAATAGCATTTGGTGAGATTGCTTATTATTTCTCATGAGTCAAATTCTTGTCTTGGATTACCACCGCAGGTTCTGTTTGTCCCGGTGAGGCAATGAGGAACCTACACTTCCTAAGGATGACCTTTCAAAAAAAATCTGAGGCTTGTGCCTCTCCGCCCCCATTTGCCTTCACCCCAGTGTTATTCAACTCCTTTTCCTCGTTTGCTTTAACTATTCTAACGTTAACAGGGTTGTATCTGCCCTAGGAGAGTGAAATATTTGTCAGGTCCTAGCTCTGACAGCTGTCTCTTTAAAAGTATTTATTGGGGCCCTCCCTGGTGGCACAACGGGTTACAGCGTGGTGCTGCTAGCCAGCCGCAGCTGCTTCAGCATGAGTTAGATCCCCGGCCAGGGGGCTGAGCCACCTGGTGCACTGGTGCAGCAGACCTCTCTGGAGTCTCCTGCTGCTCCCCTGGGCGCAAAATCTGTTACAGATCAGGGAGAGAGGGACACTCCAGAACCCCAAAACCTGTCTGCCCTAAATAGGTTCTGCCATCAGCCACATCAATACAAGGCATAAGAGCTTGAATGGAAAATAACTTTTAATACAATGAGTATACAATACAGGAGACAAAGAACATAATTTCTAAATCAAACACCTAAAGTTACCAACGGATCATGGGCAAAAGTCCACCCAAAAGGGATTGGTCTAAAGCAAGACCTGAAAGCCTGCCACAAGCCTAAAGCACCTTCTGGCCGGGACCCATAGAAAAAGGTCAGAAATGGCCAGGAAAGTCTGGGAGGAAAAGAGCAAAATTAAAATTAATATAACACTGCCATAGTCACTTCCCCACAGGTATCTCACCCGAATCTGCCTTAACCAATCCAGGGTCGAGAAACAAGCATGGTTTCTTCATCACATGCTTGCTGCTCCATGTGGCTTTCTCAGGTCTCCTGGCTCGCCATCCTGCTTCCTTCTACTCCACTCTACTTCTGGGGAGGGCAGGGAATCTGGAATTTCTCCTTTTCCTAGGGCCACCCCGTTACAGGAGGAAAAGAGCAAAATCAAAATCAATATAAACGCTGCCATAGTGAAATCTCCCACAGGTCTCTCACCCACATCTGTTTCACCCAGTCCAGGACCAGAAGCAAGCAAAGTTTCATCACATGTCCCTGCTCCATGTGGCTCCCTCAAGTCACCTTCTGGTCTCCATCCTGCTTCCTTCTCCAGATTCTTCTCTTCTCTGCTCAGCTCCACCCTCCTTCTGGGTGGGGCAGGGAACCTGGAACTTCCCCTTTTCCTGGGGACCACCCTGTACACCTCAGCAGTGTGCTTCATGTATCTGCCTGTTCTGCTCCCCACTCTGTGTCTGGTGAACACTCTCACTGCCCCTGCACTTCTGGCCTAGGGTTCTGTATGCATAAATAAATAAATACATCTTTTTAAAAAAGTGTTTATTGATTCTCTTTTTATCCCAGTCTCTGTACTGGCCACTGAACTTCAACGCTGTGAAAAATGATACAATTTAAAGAATTCACTGAGTCAGAGTTTTGTCAGCAGATGAAAACAAGGTTTTATTTTAGGTCCCGAGCAACTTTGAGAGATGATGACCTAGGAGTGCTCCTAGCAGTCCAGGTGGTGTTCCACAGTGAGAGGGGAAATGCGAACTTTGTAGGCAGAACTGCCACCTATCGATAAATGGTCAAAATCCTTTCTTTTTTCTTATTTTTTATTAACTTATAGATCTATTTACATTATTGTTCATTTTAAAACAATGTTTACTTCCCTCCTCCCCCTCTTCACTGGTCCTTCATCACCACAGTCCCCCACATTCCTCCCTCCCTCCTTTGGATTCCTGTCTGTGCCCCTCCCTATAGGATCTCTCTGGCTTATAATTGCTTGCTTTTGTTGTGTAGTGTTTTGGATTATAATAACAATACAGTTATTTCCTTATGTCTTACTTGGTTCTCTGATACTCCTCCTATAAGTGAAACCATTTGATATTTTTCTTTTTCCTTCTGACTTATCTCACTGAGCATGATCCCTTCCAACTCCACCCATGTGGCCTGGAATGGCATGAGTTTATCTTTTGATTGCTGAGTAGTATTCCACTGTGTATATACAACTTTTGATCCAATCGTCTAATTTTGGTCATTTGGGTTGTTTCCAGGTTTTACCTATTATAGTGCTGTAATAAACATAGGGGTGCATTAAATGGATAAAATTCTTGGGGGGGGGAGAAAAACATTCAGAAAGAAGAGATAATGGTAGTCTTCTAAATATGGAAAAATCACCTTTCTTGAAGCTGATAAGGAGTAGCGTTTCTCAGTCTTTGAGAGAGGTTGACACTGTCAATCAAGTGTCTCCAAATCCACAAGTCAGAGTGCTAGTTTGTTGATGATTTACAGTTATAAAATTGTCACCAATTAGCCAGTGCAATGGAAGAACATAAGTTCTACTCTTCTAGTATCTTCTAACTTTGCTTTATTAATATTAATTTCATAATGTCTAAACCACATCTTCATAGACATGTTTGCTTGGCTCCTGGACTGTTATATATATTTTTTCTTTAACTGCAAACATTGCCTTAAGCATTTTACATTAACTCTATCCTGTGAGATGCCCTGAAGTTTAACCTCCTTAAGATAAATCATCATTATTTTTGGTGTGTTTTGTCTGCTGTTTAAGATATTTGAAAGAATCTTACGTATCAGCCGTAGTAACCTTTCTTGCCATTTAAAAAATTTAACCTCCTATAGTTTTGTAATATTATTGTTATTCTTTTATTGACTCAACACTTACTTTGTGGTTAAAGCAGACTGCCACCAGGCCACTGGTAACTTGACCAGTGGTGATTTGTTGTGTATGTGAGACATTCGAAATCATGCCTTGCTTGTAGGTTTTTTGTTTTTTTTTTCCAACTTGATGTCTTTGCTTTCATGGACTTTTTTTTTTTTTTAAGATTGATTTATTTATGCTTACAGAAATGGGGTCCAGGCCAGAGGTGCAGAAGCGGTGAGAGGCTTCACCAGAAAAGGGTGGGGAGCAGAACAGGCAGATTGGTGAAGCACACTGCTGAGGGAGCAGCTGGGAGACAGGGAGCTGCTGTGCCATGTGGGTCAGCTCTGGGGCTGGGGATTGAACACACTGGAGTGGCTGCGGCTAGTTCGCCCTGCTGTGTCCTATCCCGTTGCGCCTCCACAGAGGGCACTGCTTTCATGGACTTTCAATCTCATTTGGACATTATCTACCCTGTTGTCCTGCTTGATACACCAGTGGGGATATAGTAAACGTTGCAACTTGGAAAATTCGTGTATTCCTTGGAATACACTATTCGTAGATTCACAGGGCCACCTAGAGTACTCAACTCTTAGAAGAGGAGTAGTTGAGTCTGTGAAGGGAGCAGAACTTTAGGATGGTTGCTAGTTAGTTCTTGGAATGTCCTGCTGTCCTCATCTTCCATTTGGTTATTGTGTGTGAGTAGCCCATTCTACCAGCCCTTCTTATTCTGCCCACTGTTGCCATTGCCTGGAATCATTTAACTTTTCACAGGCTGGTGATTTGCTTTCCATACCCAAGGTAGGAACAAGTGCATACACATTCCATATAAACAGATCTAAGCAATACAAGGAACAAAGTACCCATGTTTGTTCGTGTCACTGAACAAGGGAGGGAACACAGAGGTACAGTGCCTGGCACACAGAAGCTGCTTGATAAATATTCATTAAATGAATGAAGGCCAAAGAGCAAAATGTCTTTGCTTCTGAGTGACTAGACTTGATGTTAATAAATCATTTAGACCCCTCAGTTTGTGGTTAATGTCCCAGAAGCCCTAGCACCATCCATTAGGAATCATTGTGCAAGCAGAAAAAATTTTTTTCAAGCCTTTGTGTGAATTAGAAAATGGACTTTATCATGACTATGTTCTTGACCTTTGTGGACTAAGCCCTCTGTGTACCTGAGCTCCAGCCACAATCTGCATCAGCATTGGGCAAAGGTTGTACCTGAGAACTTCCCCTTCCCGCACCTCCCAAGACTTTTCTACCAAGATAAAATTTTTAAAGATTTATTTATAGTGGGAATGCAAACTAGTACAACCACTATGGAAAACTGTTTGGAGGTTCCTCAAACTACTTAACATGGAGCTTCCATATGACCCAGCAATCCCACTCCTAGGTATCTACCCAAAAGATACAAAAACACTGATTCAAAAAGATACCTGCACCCCCATGTTTATTACTGCCTTATTTACAATTGGAAAGACATGGAAACAGCCCAAATGCCCAAAAGTGGATGACTGTATTAAAAAGATGTAGTATATACACACAAAGGAATATTACTCAGCAACCAAAAAAAAGCACGCCTTTTGCAGCAACATGGATGGAGCTGGAAAAGCTCATGCTTAGTGAAGTAAGCCAGAAAGAAAAGGAAAAATATCGATGGTTTCACTCATAGCAGGAGTATAACAGACCAGGCGAAAAAAAATAATAATAAAGAACAGCTATATACCAGACATTTTATGGGAATGGAGTGGGGAATGGGATCAAAAACAGTGTGTGAGGGGGGAAATGCACTGGACTATGGTGATCGCACACGGTGATTTGGTGATGGGAAGCCCATGGGGATTATTACTGAGATGAAAAAATGCACAAAATGATGTAAAAATAAACATTATAGGGCCCTCCCTGGTGGCGCAGCGGGTTAAAGCACAGCACTAAGAAGCAAAAGCCACTTGCGCATGAGTTCGATCCCCGCCTGCCCCGGAGGTGACCACATGGCGTGGCAGACCTCTCCTGACCCGCCCGCTGCTCCCCTC